TTAAAAATAAAAGAAAATGAAACATAGTCACAGGGTGCAAAACTTCCACGAAATATATTAGCAACACTATAGCCAGAGGAGAAGGAGGAGGGGGCAGAGGAATATAGCCAGTGGAAATACTTATGAAGGTCACAGCCCAAAGACATAGACACTAAAGGACCGTGACTTAATCAGGACATTATAGCGCACAACCACTCCCCTCTACTTTACCAGCACATTAATAGGGCTCTAGTATAATAATAGTAGATTATGGCATAAAGAGAGTACAAAACACACATTTATAGATGGGAAGTTCTTAGAAAAGCTCAAAGTCAAGATGGGAGAAAAACATAAAAACGGTAGAAGAATTGAAGCCTCTGATACCTCTAGTAAGGAGAAACTTCTAGCAAAACTAATATCTAAATCCACACTAAAGAAAAATATATCTGAAATCTTATCACAAGCAGCTTTAACAAAAACAAAATATTACGAAATGGAAGATAAATCACACTCTGAAGATACAAGGCCGAAACGAGCTATGACAATAATGTTAAAATTATCACACTATTTAATATAACAGTAATTAATATAAAAAAGTAGACAACATTCAATGACAAACAAATATTATAAACAGAGAGCCAGAAACAGTGAAAGAATCATAAGAACATTTTGGAAATCAAAAATAGTAAAAAATAAAAACAAACAATGACTGTTGAACTCATCACTAGATTTAACATAGATATGGAAAAATCAGAGATCTTAAATATTAAAACATTGATTTGATATTTCAAATATTTCATATTGGTTACCTTATATTCTAATAATACCCAAAATTAAGTGACAATGCACTAAAGTAATCCTGTTTGTAATAGAACATGAAGTTATTTATAATAATTTATATTTATTTGACAATTTTAATAAGTGTTAAGTGGTCAGTTACTTTCAGCTGCAACTCTTTCTCTGTATAAATACAGACTCCATTGAACTACAAAATATTATAAAATCCAGGATATTAAAGTGTAAAATACAAGAATAAAGAAATTAATATTTAGTTAATGGCTCTTTTTTTCTAGAAAAATAATATGTATAATTACTTCCCTCTACTTTTAAGGACCTAATGTTAGTGTAGAGCTTAATCCTTTTCAAAGTACTGTTTTGATATCAAAGTACTAGTGTTTTAAAAATTGTCAGAATCAAAATTTAGTCACTTGTGTTTAAAAACAAATGATGCTGAAAAATAGAGCAAGGGAAGGCTATCAAGGATATTATGCATTAATTCCTGATAACACAAACTATCACAAAAGACTGTAAAAAACACAACCTTGCAAAAAAAAATTAAAATCATACACACAAAAAAAATACTTCTGTGAGGAAATCCGTGTAGCAAATGCCTATCCAACCTTGCACTGGCATCACTATTGTCATTGATCCTTGTAGCCAAGAATAATTATCTCAAAACAATTATTTAATTATCCATAATTTTCCATTAAAAACCACGGTCTTTCTTTACCTCATTGAATATGAACATAGTTTGCTATGGCACACATAATCTCATTGCAATGCCTTGCCCTATTCCTAAATAAATATTATTAAGAGTCTCTCTGTATATGTAGGTTGACTGTGTGTGTGTGGGGGTGTCTGTGTTTGTGTGTATACACTGTCTACCTACATAACAATATACATATATATTAATATGTATAAACACATACGTATGTTAACATATGTATGTAAATGATTTGGGAGCAAAAATAAACATTCTAAATGGTGGGCTCAGAATGTCTAATTAAAAGTAACTAGGGTGGTTACCGGCATCTAAACACCAGTTCAAACTCCTGATATTGCCTGACAGGATTTATAGGATTTCCTTTGCTCTAAAGAGATTAATAAGAAATGGGACAGGACTCTTTAATATTAACACACGCAAGGTTTTCTGGGAATCCAGACAGTTATATCATGGCCTGTTTTATGCACATTTGTAAAGTAATAGGCAAATTACATCAAGGAAAATTCAGAGCTCAAATAGACATTATTCAAACTCTTTAAAAATGCCTTGTAACTATAGAGTTAACATGTAGAGCCTTCTAAATTCTCTGTCCAGCTCTGTTTTTTTGCCTCCTACTTTGAATTTGCTGAATTTTCTACTGGAGTTGAGATAAAACACTACTTGGTATCCTAGACTAACTTTAAAAAAAAAAGTCTTAAAGAGATTTGATTGAACAGCTTTCCAAATTACAACAGCTCCATGCTAATCAACAATCTTGACACCTTTTGGAAATGTAAATTTAGATTTGGCTAACAATAGCTTAGGGTGATTCAACAGGTAATTAAATAATTGATATCTTAAAAGAAAAAGAATTAGGTAAATGTTTATAAAAGTGAGGCTCTCAGATCAAATCTTGAGCTCTGAGCACTAATACAAGATACCTTGTTTGGCATTAAAACTTGTCTTCCAGTCAGGATCCAAAATTTTAAAAGTAAAATAATAAAAACAAAACTGCCAAAGTGCTTTCCCACCCACAATGTTTACTCAAGCAACCCAGACTGACAAACAGAAGATAGATTTGTTACTAAAATTCAAGGCTACTTAGAGATTCTGTTTGTCTTATACAATTTTAGCAAGTCCTAGCTAAAAAGTAAACATTGAAAATTTGACCCTAAACTCATTTAAAACTAAAAAAAGAGAAAAGAGAAAAAAAAAATGTTTTGAAAACCAAACTGAGTTACCCAGAATTTTGGTTTACAGCCTTTACTTGTTTACCTACTAGAGCAAATAGAGTTTAGCCATCTGAAGAGGTAGCATTTTGCCTGAAATATAATTTGTATCCAACTGACTTTTATAAAGCAGTGAGTTTGTATTACTGTCTCATAAGTAATAGTCTAAAATAAAAGCTAAAAGGTTTTTGTGTGTGTGTGTATATATGTTTAAGTGTGTTTACACATATGTACATGAACTATGTTATAGCTTGTATCTACATAGTAAAATCTCACAGAATCACCTAGAAATACCTAAAGGAAGTCTATTCAGATTAGCCTAAATACGTGAGGACTCATACAAAATATATGTTCATTAATCCAAATGTCTTTTATCACTTAAGTTAATCTTTAATTAAAAAGATGGTTTCAAATTATACATAAAACATAAATTTAAAAAATAATTTTGAAGACATTTAAAATACATCTTCAAAATTGTCAAGGTATATTTTTGCCTGGGTTTAGAGGACAGACAGATGTATGTATGACCTCACAAGATGTTTTAAGGGTCAGAAATGCACACAAAGTTTATAAAACTGAACACTCAGTCAAAAATGAAATATCGTTGCTTGCATAACTCTTTGCTGAATAAGACTAATTTAATATTGTTGATTTAATAAAAACATGCATATCTTCTGAGTTATCAGCAAAATATTCATGTATTTAAATTTAAGGTTTTTATTTAGATGAGCACCTGAAATTTACAGGCTATAAAAATAGTTAACAGAAAAATAACATAAAATGATGACAAGATTTGTCTAATATATTAGTTTTCATAAGTAATCTAGGTATAATTAGCATAAATAAATTAGATAAACATAAATGGAATAAATATTTACAAATGAATGTTTTGTATAATTTCAAGTGGTTAAGATTCCTAAATGTGTAAGTCTTTTTCTTTTATTCTTTTTTGTTTTTATTTTTATTTTTTTTTTTGAGTTAGAGTCTTGCTTTTGTCGCCCAGACTGGAGTGCAATGGCGTGATCTTGGCTCACTGTAACCTCCGCCTCCAGTGTTCAAGTGATTCTCCTACCTCAGCCTCCTCAGTAGCTGGGATTACAGGAACCCACCACCATGCCAGGCTAACATTTGTATTTTTAGCTGAGACAGGGTTTTACCACGTTGGCCAGGCTGGTCTTGAAATCCTGAGCTCAGGTGATCCACCCACCTCATTGAATCATTCTAAATAAAATTCAAAAACTAAAAATAATTGTTGAACATGAGTTCAACATAAAACATAAGAAAAACCATAAGTTTTGCCTTGGGTCTTAAAATTATAAACAAAGGCTAACTATATTTGGCTCTATTAATAAACATAAAAAATTATGTTCTGGAAAATAATGTTCCTAAAAAGTACAAAATGGTTATCGTCTATAAAATACTGATATGTGACAGACTGTCCAAAATTTCTTTTTAAATATTAAAGTTATTGAGTGTTAAAATCATTATATTATTTATATATAGTTTTGTATATAAAGTACACTAAAAACGTAAGGTGTGTTTACAATGAGAAAAAGCATAAAAAAGGCATAAGAAAGTATTCTTTATTGAGGAAGAAAAGATAATCTTGTCTAATTCAGAAGTTATTTAAAGGTTGTTTCAAAGTAAGTATTTAGAAAAAAATAGAAAAAATAGTAAATAGGAGAGAGATGTTTTAAAAAGTTATGGGTACAAAGACGTATTTTTGGCTTAGAATCTTAAAGAAAATAATTATTCTGTTAGAGAAAAATATTATGTGGCAAATTTTTGGCCTGATCTAAAATTGCAGGTTATTTAAAATAGAGAAAATATGGGACAAAACAAAAATATAAGCATGCAATCAAAAAGTCTGTGCAGTATGTGAAAGGCTTATAAAAGAAATTTGGTCTATGATCAACTTGGCTGTAATTAGAAGAAAATTATACATAAAAGCATTTCTAAAGATTGGTCTATGGTATTAAAAATGTAGATATGGGCTGGGTGTGGTGGCTGATGCCTGTAATCCCAGCACTTTGGGAGGCCAAGGCGGTCGGATCATGAGGTCAGGAGATCAAGACCATTCTGGCTAACACAGTGAAATCCCGTCTCTATTAAAATAAAAATAAATATCCAGGCACGGTGGCGGGTGCCCGTAGTCCCAGCTACTCAGGAGGCTGAGGCAGGAGAATGGCGTGAACCCGGGAGGCGGAGCTTGCAGTGAGCCAAGATTGTGACAGTGCACACTGTGTCGCCTGGGCGACAGAGCGAGACTCGGTCTAAAAAAAAAAATGCAGATATACAACTAAAAATTTGGTTCCCTATAACAGGGTTTTCTTAAAGCATTGGTTGCAATGCTCATAGTAAATATTGCAAAAAGTTTAGATTTCTAATTCTAAAACGTTTTTTAACAGCCCTTTTCAAAACTGCAGTTTTTATTTCTGCCATATTTATTTATGAGATTCATTTAATTTCCTTATTTTCAATCTGAAAATGATAATTTTATTTCTTGAGGTAGAGTTTTCCTCTTGAAGCTTCTCAGAATCTTCTCTCAAAAATTTAGCTTTTGCTGTATATCACCGCATGTTACTTACAGGTAATGTATAATTGCCCTCAGTTCTCTCTCTCCTTGAAAAAGCCTGAGACAATAACTTTCTTCTTTAACATTTTTGTCAGTTCCTAGAACACTTTTCTCTGGGTTTAACTCTGCTGCTATTCACCAATGCTAAAATTTACATCCAAAGGCCTAAGAAACAATGTTTCTATTAAGTGTATTTTGATTTTATACTCTTAACTTTTCTTGATATGTCTAAATAGTTCCATGTAACCAGGAAACTCAAAATACTGTTGCTAAGAGCCTGATTCCACAGCTTAAGGTAGTGGTTTCCTTGTTTAAATTTCTGTATACTATAGTGTACACTTATAATCTCGGACACACTCTTTTTTGTCTGACTAAATTGAAGTACCGTTTTTATCAGGTTTGACTTCCAGGTTGTCTAAATCGGCTTCCCATTATAAAAAACAATCAGATTGGAAAAGTTATTTTTTTAAATCTTTTTGGTAACTGGCCTGAAAAATGAAGATTTTACATTTCATCAAGATAATATCCTGTGTTGCCTTTACTAGGTTTTTGATTACTTAGGAAGAGAGTGTGGCAATTTCTTAAAGACCTAAAGACAGAAATACCATTCAACCCATCAATCCCAATACTGAGTACATACCCAAAGGAATATAAATCATTCTATTATAAAGACACATGCATGCATATGTTTATTACAGCACTATTCACAAAAACAAAGACATGGAATCAACCTAAATGCCCATCAATGGTAGACTGGATAAAGAAAATGTGGTATATACCATGGAATACTATACATCCATAAAAAAGAATGAGATCATGTCCTTTTCAAGGGCATGAATGAAACTGTAGGTCATTATCCTTAGTAAACTAATGGAGGAACAGAAAACCAAATATTGCATGTTCTCACTTATAAGTGGGAGCTAAATGATGAGAATACATGAACACATAGAGGAGAACAACAGACACTGGGCTTATCAGAGGGTAGAGGTTGGGAGGAGGGAGAGAATCAGGAAAAATAGCTAATGGGTACTAGGCCTAATAACTGCTTGATGAAATAATCTGCACTATAGACTCCCATGATACATGTTTACCTATGTAACAAACCTGCACATGTAACCCTTGAACTTAAAATATAAGTTTTTTTAAAAAATGAGCTTTAAATGGGTTAATGATTTAATTTATATAATTTTCTGTATTGCTTTTGAAGTCTTTTGATTATCGCTCTTATTAAATAAATGACTGTTATTTTACCATGACCTGTGACTCTGTTTTGGTCAAGTATTTTGAATCTTCTGACATCTTTGACAGTCTTCTTCAAGAACAAAATTTTAAATTAAATCTTTTTCACATAGAATGAATTTGAAATTTTCCAGTTGATCCCTGGAGGGCTTCAAATAATATATCTCTCTCATCTTACAGAGAGGTTAAATGATAAGGCTTATTTGGCAAATAGCATGGAAAACATTGTCAAATAACAACTGAAGATAGATATTTTTTCAGTTATAATTATATGTACATTATTGATATGACTATTTGAAAAATTGTATACATCCATAAAAATCTATTATCAGTTATAGTTTCAGTTGTTCTGTAAAATCTTTAAAGTTATATTTATATGAATATGTTATTAATGTTCATATTCTAAGGATTATGTAAAATGTATAAAACTCTGATAGTCTTGATGTAACACTGACAGTCATGATTCTGGTTGGTATCTTAAAAGGCTTTATGTAATATGAATAAAAATCGAGTCACTTGTCTTTAAAAGAAAACAACAAATAGAGCCAAGGCATGCTATAAGGAGATGGCTCTTATACATAAATGATTGATAACAAAAACTAACTCAAAAGACTCTGTATTAGTCCATTTCACAAACTCCTATAAAGAACTACCTGAGATTGGGTAATTTATAAACAAAAGAGGTTTAATTGACTCACACTTCCATATGACTGGGGAGGCCTCAGGAAACTTACCATCATGGCAGAAGGCAAAGGGGAAGGCAGCACATCTTACATGGCAGCAGGAGAGAGAGAGAGAACAAGTGAGGAGGAAAGTGCCACACCTTTAAACCATCAGAACTCATGAGAACTCACCCAGTATCACAAAAACAACATGGGGAAAGCCACCAAAATGATCCAATCACCTTCCACCAGGTCCCTCCCTTGACACATGGGGATTACAATTGAAGATGAGATTTGGGTGGGGACTAGAGCCAAATTATATCAGATTACAAAAATACAACTTTGAGCAAAGGCCACTGTAGTTTATATAAAAAAATACTTTTCAAGGACAGCTGTCTGGAAAATGTCTATTTAACCTTATCCTGGCACTACCTTTGTTACTGATCCTTATAGCCAATAGTATAGATCTAAAAACAATTATATAATCATCCTGATTTTTATTTAAAAAAAAAAAACTGTCTAACTTTACCTCACTGAATTCATACACAGATTACTATGGCTCATGTATTTTCATTGCAATGCCTTATTTCTGAATAAATACCATTTTCTTTTAGAGATCTTTTCTCTGTTTATTTAGGTTGACTGTGTGTATGTACATGTGTGCATGTGTACATGTGTGAGTGTGTGTGTGTGTGTGTGTGCTTTTGCCCACTAAGTCTCAAACAAAGTTCTATTCCTATAATTATCTCATCTATGGAATAAGTTATAGAAGAAAAATAAAACAAAGCAAAAAGTGGAAAGCATCAAAACACACAGTCACAGATACACATGTGTTTATTATAACATTGCTTAAAATTAATATTAATTATATATTTTATGTTAACAATTTAATAATTAAATGTGTCAGTAAAAATGAAATATCAGCCTTATGAGTTGCATAAGGCACTATATTTGAGTAGATTATAAATAAAAAGTAAGAGTTTTTAAAAGATAAATAAGCATGCATCAGTGATGTTTATAGAAATTTATCAAACACATTGGTAAATCAAATTGGATATTGTTTATAACACTGAATTATCATACAGTTTTTATAGGTAATGTAGCAGATTATTAATTGAAAATGGAAAAAGTACTGAAAGTCATGTTCTAGAAGAAAGAATAGGAGTACTGAAGATGAAATCTCATTCGGAGTAAAAATTTACTTAGATAATGAAAATTGTCCTTTAGATTCAAAGTTTAATATTTAAAATTGTAGAAAACATACATAAGGAAAAGAAAAAAAATGGAGATTGAGCAGTGATCTAAATAAAATATATTTTGTTAATAATGAAGAATAGTAAATATAAAGCCAAGCCACATCAACACTTTTTGAAGGTTTATCCTATAGTGGACATAAAGTTAGTCCTCATCTGCTAGAATTATGCTTTCCTTTTCCTGAGAATATCTTGAGTTCAGTAAAAACCTATCACTTTAGGTGCGTGAGTGAAACAACATACACTAGTGAATCTAATATGTGTTTTGCTTATTGTAGTTTCTTTGACAATAGCAATAATAGACAAAAGCACCTATAAAAAATGGATAGGAAATTGTGATAGTTAATTTTATGTGTCAACATTACTTGGCTACAGGGTGTCAGGATATTTGTCTAAACATTACTTCCAAAATTTCTGTAAATGGTTTTTTCGAGATTTTAACATCTAAATTGATAGACTGAATAAAGCACATTATGCTTCCTAATGCAGGTGGACCTCCTCAGTCAGAACAAAGCCTGAATAGAATAAAAAGCCTGGCCCTCCCTCAAATAAGAAATTATTTCTCTCTGACTTACCCCAAGATGCAAGGTAAGTTTTCTTCTGCCTTTATATTTCAACTGAAATATCAGGCCTTTCTGGGACTCTAGCTTTCTGACCTTTGGACTCGAACTAAAGCATCAGCTGTCCAGGTTCCAGTACAGAGATCTGTCTATTGTGTTAGTCTGTTCTCATGCTGCTAATAAAGACATAGCTGAGTCTGGGTAATTAATAAATGAAAGAGGTTTAATTGACTCAGCAGTTCCACAGGACTGAAGAGGCCTCACAGTCATGACAGAAGATGAATGAGGAACAAAGTCACGTCTTACATGGTGGCAAACAAGAGAGCTTGTGCAGGGGAACTTCCATTTATAAAACCATCAGACCTCACGAGACTTACTCACTACCACAAGAACAGTACGGGGAAAACCACTCCTGTGATTCAATTATCTCCACTTGGCCACACCCTTGACACATGGGCACTATAACAATTCAACGTGAGATTTGGGTGGGGACACAGCCAATCCATATCATCAATAAATAAGTTTTGTTTAACACATTTAATAGATAATAGCTTCTATTGTTATATCTTATGTTAATAGTTAAGTATATTTTTTATTTTAATTCACAGGCTCTCAAACCAATATATCATATGTAGATTTTAAAACCCATCCAGTAATGCCTGTGATGTTTCTGATAAACTAATTTTAATAAACCTACCAAAGCATTTTTCTTAATCCATTCATATATTCCTAAAATTTGATGCATAGATCCTCTAGTATTTAGCTGTTTATTGATTATTAATATTGAACATTTATCATCTTTCATTAAATAATAGTCATTTATTAACAAACTGAGTTTTTCTCCTTTGATGATTTTATATGGATTACTAAAACAAAAGATTTTAATGCTTCATTTTGGTATTTTAAATTCTATTGTTTGCTATTTTAAAATATATTTGAAAACTTTATTTATTTATTTACTTATTTATTTTGAGACAGAGTTTTGCTCCTGTTGCCCAGGCTGGAGTGCAATGGCGCAATCTCAGCTCACCGCAACCTCTGCCTCCTGGGTTCAAGCAATTCTCCTCCCTCAGCCTCCCAAGTAGCTGGAATTACAGGCATGTAGCACCACACTTGGCTAATTTTGTGTTTTTAGAAGAGACAGGGTTTCTCCATGTTCATCAGGCTCATCTTGAACTCCTGACCTCCAGTGATCCGCCCACCTTGGCCTCCCAAAGGGCTGGGATTACAGGTGTGAGCCACCATGCCTGGCCTGAAAACTTTAAATTTATTATCAAAGTTATTCAATATTCAGCTTGTATATGATTAATATTTTTTGCTTAAGAAAGTATTACCAGCTATTTATCTTCATCTTCTTTCTTAATAATTTATCCATAGCAGCCAACAAAGTATCACTATTATTGCCACAAAAATACAATTAAAAACTAAACACATTGATTTTGGACTTTGGGTCTCCAGAATTGTGAAAAACACATTTCTGTTTTTATAAGCCACCCAGTCTGTGCTACTGTCATATAGCAGCCCAAACTGACTAAGACAACCATTGATGACAAACTCTTAGTTTAGCATACATGCATAAATCTGTGTCTATACATGTATATCTAAATCTATTTAGAGATAAATATATAACGTGTATATATTCAAATACATATATACGTATATATGCAACATGTGTAAGTTTATACATTATCAAAATTCCAATGATATGCTTCACAGAAATAGAAAACCTAATTTGTAAGAAGCCACAAAAAACCCCAAACAACCAAAGCAATCTTGAGCAGAAAGAACAAAGCTGGAGGCATCACATTACCTTACTTCAAAATATACTACAAAGCTATGCTAATCAAAATAGCATGGTACTAGCATTAAAAAAAAGACATATAGAGCACTGGAAGAGAATAAAGAACCCGGAAATAAATTCACACCCTTATGGTCAATTAATTTTCAGCAAAAGTGCCAAAAGCACACAATGCATAAAAACAGTCATTTTAACAAATAATATTGGAAAAAGTAGATATCCACATGCAAATAATATAATTAGGTCCTTATCTTACGTCGTATATAAAAATTAACTTGAAGTGGATTAGAGACTTAAATGTAAGACCTGAAACTATAAAAGTACTGGAAGAAAACATAGAGGACAATCTTCATGATGTTTCTCTGGGCAATGCTTTTTTGAATATAAGTATATACATGTATGCATATTGTTCAGAAGTATCTAAATATATTAGATAAATTAATCAACTTTATATTTATAAATATATTGGTTAATTTATAACAGATAATATATTTAAATTGGATTACCTTCTTTGCTCTCTAAGAGGCAGTTGACAATATCTGGCGCTATGTTAGATTATCCCAGTGGCAGGATGAATCTGTCCTCTAGTGTGTGGAAGCCAGAAATGCTGCCAAATATTCTGTAAGACCAAGGAAGACTCCCATCATAAAGAATCCTCTGGTTTAAAATGTTACCAAGGTTGAAACACTCTCCCCCAGGATAATCTTGGGGATCCCCAAATCTTTATAAATCCTGCATGAATTGGAACATGTTGAAATAGGCATCTCAAATTTTACTTGGTTATTTATGCATTTAATAAAAATATGTACTGTATACTTACTTTATAAATTCACAAAATTCAACCCAGTTTATGCATAGTCTATGCATGTATATCATACGTATACATGTTTGTGTACAATCTACAAATTTTCTAAAACAAATTAATTATATAGACTCTGGGATCCAGAGGGCACCCTATGTTCTTGTTACTAGAAAGCCTGTCTCCCAGTGACCTTGCTTTTTCATTCTGTTCCCAAGTGTAACACCTGGTTGGCCCTGCAGGGCAAGCAGTGTCATCCTCCGCTGGGCTATGAGTATATGTGAGTTATAAAAGATTTTTACTCTCATCCTTACAGTGTTTAATGTCATGTGTTGAGACATCTTGTACTAAGTCCTTCCTCACAAATGAGGTAAGTAGGAGACAATTCAAGTACTTACTGGGCACATAAGGTAGAAGCAGTTGAAGATAATTATTAGGTTAATACTCATGCCAATTATTTGCAGCTCCCTATTTCTCCTGGAATCATGTTGTTTGGGAGTTAGAGCTGAGGATTTTTTTTTTTTTCAAACACACTTTTTATCAGTTTTGCAGCTCCTACTCTAGCTGAAATAACTAACATTCCTTTCCTATCCAGGGAAGAAAATTTTAAAAAGCATGGTAAAAGTTATCTGCTACACTTTAGTAGGCATTTCTGTATTTCTTTTTTTATTCCAATTCTCCCCAAGTTAATGGTTAAATCCTGCAAAATAATTATCGAATTCCAATATCACATGCTGTGAAATCCTCCCCTATCCCAACTGCTGACAACTATTGTGCATCAGAGACATTTTCCCCAACATTTTCATGGGACCCAGAAATAGGCCCTATAACAAATCAAGCATATACTCAGTTTAAGTCTATTGAACAATATTTTAATGTTATCTGCATAAAAAGGTACAACAGTATGCATTTGACCACTTTTATAATCAGTTTTCTCACTGGGTACCAAAGGCCTGATTATGGCAAGGACCGGAAAGCCAGCTAAGCCATCATTCAATCCTGGGTTGGATTCTCTAAAAAATTAAAGTAAGAAACAGGGATAAGAGCCAGTGTCTTGTCACAACACATACTTTTTCCATGCAGCTATATTTACCAGCTAGTTAGTAGAATATGTATGAAAAACTGAATGTTTTATTAATTACATTGACCTAAATCTGCTGGAGAAATAACATTTTCAACTACCTCAGAAGTTCTCAAATTTGTATGAGTTGGATTAACATATTTACACAAATTCAAGCACTTCTCCATCATTAGTAAGCACATTTGACTGCATTCTGTTGGTCTGCTCCTCTCTCTGCATGAGATTCTTGTTGCGCCTATGTTTATATTTGTCACAATTATGTTTCTACATTTATGTATCTATGTTATAAACAGCTAGTTGTGTGCTGATATCCAGTCTCTTCTACTTTCATTGTAAGGAGATCCTTAACTTTGAAGTAGGACCATGACCAGTTGTAAGAATGCAAACTGAATTTTGCCATGACTAAGTTATTTGATTGATTGGGAATTGGATATGTGTATTAATTCATTCTCACACTGCTATAAGGAACTTCCCAAGTCTGGGTAATTTAGAAAGAAAAGAGGTTTAATTGACTCATAGCTCCACATGACTGGTGAGGCCTCAGGAAACTTATAATCATGGTGGAAGGTGAAGGGGAAGCAAGGCGCCTTCTTCACAAGGCGGCAGGAGGGAGAATGAATGCAGGAGGAACTACAAAACACTTTTAAAACCATGAGATCTTGTGAGAACTGCCCCCATGATTCAATTACTTCAACCTGGTCTCTCCCTTGACACATGGAAATTATAGGGATTACAATTCAAGGTGAGATTTCTGGGTGGGGACACAGTCAAATCATACCAATATGTATGAAAACAAAACAACAACACAGAAGTGCTATGTGATTCTTCCCCAAACAGCAAGGTAGATGATCATGAGGATAAACAGACATGCACGAGAGTAGGAACCAGGGTTATTCCTGTTATGTCTTAGTTTCTTTAACTAGGAAGTGGTAATGTAACAATTCTAATTTACAAGTTTGTGAGGACTATTAAACATTGAATTCCTAGCACAAATCTTAGCACAGGATGTAAACTCTGTAGTTTGTTTTGTTTTCTATTTTTGCATAATAATTTATATATTCTGGAGGTATGATTATGTCTCTGGTGAAATTTTACATCTTCAAGGTACAAAATTGTGTCACCATTAGTTACAGGTGAAATTAGTGTGTAGAAATATTCAGGAGTAAAAAATAGTTATTGAAGAGTAGGATATAATGTAATTTTTGTTCTAGACTCATGGATTAAATAAATGTCAGAAATCAAATTAGTGTAATAGATGCCATATATTAACAGCATTTGGGGTTGAAGAATGATTACAAAAATTATAAATGGAAGGCATACAATTCCAAAAAAGGAAATTAATATAAGGAACACTCTGAGGCTATGTATTGACAGAGGTCACATGCAACACATACACACTTACTTATACAGTTATTTGCAAATTATTTTAGTTTTTATCTTTCAGGTTTTTTAAAATTTCAACTTTTATTATAGATTAAAATGTACACATGCAAGTTTTTTACATGGGTAAATTGGAAATTCTGTGATGCTGAGGCTTGGGGTCCCAATGATTCTGTTACCTAGGCAGTAAGCATAGTACCCAGCAGGTGGTTCTTCACCCGTGTGCCCTCTGTCCCTTCCCCATCTAGTGGTCTCCAGTTTCTATTGTTTCCATCTTTACATTCATACATATTCAATATTTAGTTCCCACTTAGAAGTGAGAACCTGTGGTATTTGGTTTTCTGTTTTTGCATTACACCACTTGGGCTAATGGCCTCCAGCTCCATCCACATTGCTGCAAAGCACATGATTTCATTCTGTTTTATGGCTGCATTGAATTCCATGTGATGCTTTTTTTCCCCCTCAATCCAGTGTTGGTGAGCACTTAGGTTGATTCCATGTATTTGCTATTGTGAATGGCACTGCAATGAACGTATGGGTGCATAGGTCTCTTTAATAGAATGAATTATTTTCCTTTGTGTATATAACCAGGAGTGGGATGGCTGGGTTTAATAGTACTTCTACTTTAAGTACTTTGGGAAATCTCCGAACTGCTTTTCACAGTGTTGAACTAGTTTGGATTCCCTTCAACAGCGTTTAAGTGTTTATTTTCTCTAAAGTCTTGTCAACATCTGTAATTTTTTGGCTTTTTAATAATAACCGTCATGACTGGTGTGAGATGGTGATCTCATTGTGGTTTTGATTTGCATTTCTCTTATAGTGATGTTGAACATTTTTTCCATGTTTGTTGACTGCATGTATGTCTTCTTTTGAGAAGTGTCTGTTCATATCCCTTGCCCATCTTTTAATGGGACTCTTTTGGTGCTTGTTGATTTGTTTAAGTTTCTTGTAGATTCTGTACAACAGACATCCTACAAAATTATTTATTTTATTCAAGTAATTTTATATTCATAGAAAATTTGAGCAGAAAGTAGGGAGATTTCCCACATAACCCCTCCCTCACAAATTCATAGACTTCCTTATTATTACCATCCCCCACTAAAGTGGCACTTTTTCTACAAGTAATAAATGTTGATGCAATTTTTATTACCCAAAGTTCATTATTTACATCAAGGTTCAGTCTTGTACATTCTATAAGTTTGAACAAATGTATAACGACATGAATCTAACATTGCAGTAGATACAGAGTGGTTTCACTGCCCTACAGTTTTTCCGGGTTCCACCTACTTATCCGTCCTTTATTTCCCTCTATCCCCTGTCAAATGGTAATTTTTTTCTATCTTCACGGATTGACTTTTCCAGAATGTCATAGTTTGAATCATATTATATGTTGCCTTTAAAATTATTAACTTTTCACTTAGTAACATGATTTAAAGTTCCCCCATGTATTTTCATGGATTGATATCTCATTTTTTTTAGTGCAGAATATTTTTTTTTAATTTGAATACACTACAATTTAGTTATTCACTCACCTACTGAAGGACGTATTGGTTGCTTTCAAGTATTGGCAATTATAAAGTGTTGCTATAAACATCTATGTTTTGGTCTGAGTGTGCCCTGCCCCCAAATTTATGTGTTGGAAATGTACACAATGCAACACTGTTGCATTGCAACAATGTTGAAAGTTGGACAAAATGGGAAGTGTTTACATCAGGAGGGTGGAGACTGTGCACTGTTGCACTGGAGGTGAAATTCACTTGGGGTAGGGAGCTGGCCAGTGCAGATGTTGGTGCCTTCTCTGTGCCCTGTAATCACTCAGGTTGTTGGGGAATTCCTTGTTCTCTGTGCAGTGTTAGTGCAAGGGCAGGGTGTTGTGGGGCCTGGGTCTGTGTCCACCAAGGCTCCATCTGCAATGGTGGTGAGCAGGAGTTGGGGGGCACACTCCACTACTACATGCTGGCAGGTCAAGTAAAGCAAAACCTACCTGTTCAGACACATGCCAGCAATGTGATGTGGGGAGTTGCTGTGGGCTCAGGGGAAGCTGAAATATGAGGAGGGAGTATGCAGGCTGGTGCATGGCCTCAGAGGCTATCTTCCTGGAGCTCACCACCATTCAGGCTTGGTCCACCAGTGCAGAAACTATGGTGTGGGTTCCAGGGCACCCAAGACTGCCCTATAAGCAGGTGTGGCCAGGCTGGGGTGCCAAGAGAGTTCAGCAGACCAAGGAGTGCTCAGGTAGGACCAGCCCCATCTGATGTGCAAGTCCTCCCTGCAGAGATCAGGTGTGACAGTTCTCCTAGGGCTAAAGTCTCCTACGGGAACAAGGTGAACCTAGAGGGATGGATGTCCCTGGCTGTGTTCCACTACAGCTCCTCCCACACCAAACCCTCTGGGCTCCATGTCAACTGGCTTGCTCCTCCACCACTTTTCTAAGCAGCTCTCCCTATCACCTCAAGTGTCCATGGTGGTTGAGGGGTCCCCTCCTGCTAGGGATCCAGGGCCCCCTGGCCACAGTGGGCTGCTCCTTGCCAGTTCAACTGACCAATTCCCCTGTAGCTGTTGTGGTTCAAAAATGAGTCCCAGTATGCAATAGTGGGGTTACCAGCTTTCTTCTCCCCCTTCAGCCCAGTTTCTCTGTCCACTATTGGCAACTTCCCTCTGAAGATTTATGAAAAGCATGGCAGTCATCTCAGTCCCTCCACAGAAGCTATTTTACTTGTTTGTGTCTAGTTGGCCATCTTGCCTTCCTTGCAAGCAAGCATAATTATTCTAAAAATTCATCATGAAGTTTCAAAGTGAATTACATATATTAAGAATAATGAAATTTTGGGAAGCATTTTTATAAAATACCACCACATTTTTATAAGATTCCACCACACCTACCAGATTAAAAATTCTTGGATAAAGAA